AAAGAAATAGAAGAAATAAAAAGAGGATATGTGATAATGGCAGGTGATTATAATATGGTTATAGAAACAGAGCAAGTCAGAAGGGGTCTCCTGGGCCATCTAGTCTGACCCCTGGCTCCAGCCAGCTCCACTTATGACATGTCCACCATATGCATGCCTAGCCTATCTTTGAACACCCTCATCGATGGGGCCTCAACCACCTCCTGTGGAAGCCCATTCCGTACCCTCGGGGTCCTAACTGTCTGGAAGTGCTTCCTGGCATCTAAATGGAACCTTGTTTCCCTGAGCTTCACTCCATTGGAGCCCATCCTGCCTTTCTCTGCAGAGGAGAAAAGGTCTCTACCCACCTCCATGTGACATCCCCTCACATACTTGTATGTTGTCAACAGATCCCCTCTTCTCCAGGCTGAAGAGACCCAGTTCCCTCATTCTCGCCTCATATGACATCCCCTGCAAACTAGCCACCAACCTTGTGGCTCTACGCTGCACTGACTCTAACCTGGCTATATCCTTCCTGTAACGAGGCGCCCAAAACTGAACACAATACTCCAGTTGCAAGAGCACCAGAGTCATGGAGTGGTAGTAATACCTCTCTCAATCTAGAAGCCACACTTCTGCCTATGCAAGCAAGGGTGGCGTTCGCCCTCTTGACCACCACATCACACTGCTGACTCATGTTTAGCCTGCAATCAACCAGTACCCTGAGGTCCCTTTCACAAGTGCTGCTCTTCAGCCACTTGTCCCCTAACCTGTACTTATGACACCTATTCCTATGCCCCAAGTGCAAGACCTTGCACTTACCCACATTGAACACCATCCTGTTGTCTCCTGCCCACTTCCACAGTCTGTCTGCATCCTTCTGGATCTGGAGTACCTGCTCCTCAATCGTGGCCACTATGAATTTGATCAGCAGAGTGTTCACCCCTTCTTCCATCTCATCCAAGTCTAATTTGATTTTACTGAAATTTGGTTGGAATAACACATATAAGAAACATATTGTGCAATAGTACTATAAATTCCACTGTCATATATAAATACCAAAGGAAGAAAGTCAAGATTAGTGTTAACTGTACAGTATAGGCATTATTGTTTTTTGCTTATTTACTTTTCTTAGGATTTCTTATGTTGTTTAGTAAAAACAGATTCTTGACAGTCATATCCACTTGTACAAAGAATGTAGGAAACCTTCTGAGCATGAGTGAGGGTCTTACTTCCCATGTTGCTAAATCAAATGCCTTTAGGAAGGCCACAGGCAGAGCTTTAGGGCAACAGTCTTCTTCACATCATCATCAGCATCTGATATTCAGAGGTGTATTGCCTCTGGATTTGGAGGGCCCATATAGCTATCATGTCTATAGATTTATTTTCCATGAATTTGACTTATCTCTGTTTAAAGCTACCTGAACCAGTGGTTTATATTACATCCTTTGGCAGAACATTCCATAAATTAAAAAAAAAATAAAACATATGTTTTAATTCTTATCATCAGTTATTCACAATTACACCCTCTTTTTTGTCTGTTTAAATCTTCCTTGCATTTGGAGAACTTTCTTCTTTGCGATACCTTATACTGAGTCATGCTGCTGTCCATGTTCAGGGTTTTAGGCATGATTCTTCCCCGGCCCTTACTGCAGACACTGAGCAATGGATCCCTAATTTAAGGTTGTGTGGAGAACTACTTGTATATACCAGTGTATAAGACAATCCTTGAAACTGAAAATAGCAAAGCAAAATCGGGGGTGTGGGGGGAATTGCCTTATACACCAATTGAAAAATTTCCCTTATTGTATGTAGGTTGTCTTCCATGTCATGTTGCAAGCCTCACACATGGCCACAGGCCCACCTACAGGGCGGCACACTCTTCCTGGCTGGCTGTGGTGGCAGCCAGGAAAGGGAGCATTCCCTACTCTGGGGGAACTCATCCTGCCTTGCACACAGCCACATGCCTGATCCCAAGTCCAGAGCCTGCCTGCCCACCCTCACCACCACACACTGCAGTTTTCAGAGGTACTTCCATTAAAAATAGTAACTTTTAAACATCTGCTGCTCAATTCATTGAGATGGCTTTTGATGGCTTACCATATATACTGGCATATAAGATGTCCCATGAAACTGAAAATAGTGCAGCAAAAATTGGGGGTTCTCTTATATGCCTGACATATAATAAGCACCAGAAAAACAGCCCAAAATACCAACCTTATCTTATATGTGAGTCACTGATATGGTGGGATATACAGTATTTTGTTTTTTACTTCCTGAATCATTGGCTGTTTGATTTTATTGGAAGAACCTACCCTCACCATGCATATTTTTTATAAACACCCATCATGTCCCCTTTTTCTTAACTAAAGAATACAATACCTAAAATTAATCTCAGAAATTGCTAAGCATAAGAATGTCACATTGCTCTTCATTTTAGCTCGCTGCCCATCCAAGAGCCTGGCATCAAGGATAGGCAAATCTAAGCAATTGGCAAGGTTTCACAGGCTCAGAAAATCTTCTTCAGTTTCTAAAATTCTCTGTTCACAACCACAACTACCTGTCCCATAGACAGTCATTTTGGCAGCACAAAGTGGCTACCATGGAGACCCAAATGTCTGGCTCTGATGAGCTACCTCCTCAGAAGCAGGCACTGTTAAGACCGGAGATCATTCCAGGGGATCATCTGGGTTGTGGGCAATCTTCCAGGTCGTTGTTCCTTAGTAGCAGCTCCATGTCTTCTGAAGCAGCTGCACATCCTCTGTTTAGCCAGGGTCGACAGGCTCCTCCTCTGGAGAAGAAATGTGCTGGGAATTTGCACATGGCACTGCTACTGTCCTAGCTTACCTCTCCAGTTTCCATAACATGTGGCTTGAAGACTGACCCTAACTGAATCAAGCATTTGGCAACAGAGTAGAATTGATGTGGGAGAGGGACTAGGGGAAGGGAGGAAGAGGGAACAAACAGGATCTATTTATACTTGCTTACACTGAACCTCATTTCCTGCTTTTCACTTTTTTGTATATTCACCCATTTTGAACAGAACCTTCCAGGGCTCTTTGCAGTTGCTTTAATTTTTCAGAAGTCGACTACTTCCCTGATCACCCTTAACTCCAAATAATTTATGAACAAGTTAATTAGAAGTAATCCTAATAATGATCCTTTGAGCACCCCTGTTATTAATTTCATTCATTCCAATTCCTGTTCTTTAACTGGTTACCCATCTTTAAGAGGATCCGTCTTCTTGTCCCAAGGTTGTAACTTTTATTAAAGAGATTATTTTGCAAGACTTTGTCAAAAGCATTTTTGGTAGTCCAACTGCATAGTATCTGCCAGCTTGTTGATACTCCAAGCCCTGCTGATTCTTCCTAAAGACATGCTTTTCTACATGCTTAATAATATGATCTTTAGTCATACTTTCTAATTGATTTACCCTGAATAAACATTATAGAAATTACACTGTGATTTCCTGAAAATCAGCATTATTTTGGCTACTTTCCCATCTGGTACACAGAAAAGAATCATATCTTTTGCCAGAAGATAAGCAACATCACATTTTACTTCCTTAGGGTGTAATCCAATGGGACTGCCTGTAACCCTGAATTCAGAGTATTATGAGCATCCTATGGAGGGCAGGAGGAGACAGAGGTGAAGGTCACCTTTATGTATTTTAATGTGGGAGAAGTAGGCTGAGATACTGCCAGCATACGTCAAAACTTGGAGGTAGTATTCCCCTCCTGTCACTGGTCCCCAGAACACCTCCAAAAGTCCCTCTGTGAGGTCATTTTTAAGACCTTGGAGAAGCAGCCAGTGCACTTCTTCCTGTGCCTGTTGTGAGAGGAAGAGGAGAAGCTTACTGCAGGTAAAAGTTCGAAGTGATTTTCTAAGCTTGTAGGTGGGAATTGAAAAAAATGCTATGGCCATCTACACTTATTTATTTATATCCCACTGTTTCCCTTTTGAAGAGATCAAAGGCTTTGTCTAAAGGATATAACATTGAGGTGTTAAGAACTCTTGCTTGGATACCAAATGTTTACGTCCTCAATAAGCCCTAGAAACGGGAAAAAATCAATTCAGGCATTTTCTGCAGTGAAGACAGATACACACTAAATTTCTTCTCAGCAATGTATGTTGGGTTCTTGTATAATAATGATGAAAAAGCTGCTTCATTACATGGTCCTTATGGATTTTGCTGGCCTACAAATCAAAAAGCTAAATATTCATTAACAACTAATATTTAGAGGTATCCTGCCTCTCGTACTGCAAATATTCATCATCAAGCAGTTATTTATAACCCAATTCTCCATGAATTTGTCTAATAACTTTTAAAGCCAGTCAAGTTCATGACTATCATATTTTGTGGTGAGCAATTCTGCAAATAAATTACACACTAACACAGCTTTTCCCAGCCTGGTATACTACAGATTTTTTTTAAAAAAATAAAAGATACAAATACAAAAATCATCTCATAAACAAACCCTTAGTGCACCCCTCCATGAGGATCATGACTGCCTAGTTTTGGTTTTTTTCCCCTTTCATTTTTCTACTCTTTCTTAAATAACCTCTTCCATCCAAAATTGTAATACGGCCATTGGAGGCTTAGTACCCTCCCCTTTTATTAATACATGTTCAATAAACCTAAAATCATTCTTCTTTAACAATCCTTTTTTCAGCTTTATTTCACACATCAACTTATCATTAACTGCTATATTCCAAACTTTTTTATACCATTCAGTTTATTGGAGTTCCTGTTTCTCCTTCCAGTCTTGCAGATTTTGTGTGTCTATACCACCTGTTATCCCTAGTCAAGAGTTTTTTAACATATATAATTCATCTCAAATATACACATCTATATCTACCACATCGAGAAGTTCATGATGCTTCAGCTGCATCATTCATTGTTATATGCGCAGTATGGCCAGCAACATAAAAATCAGATCATACCCAAGAATAAAAAGCAATTTATCACCCTTTTCAGTCAGAACTTATTCTCTTCAATAAGAAAGCAAAAAATGTTCTCTTTATCCTTTGGTTTCCTTCTTCCCCCAGTTCTTCACAGTGTGTTGAATAATCCACTTTTGACCTGTACAGTTTTGCATAACAAGTCTGTAATATGGGGATTCCTGTTCTTTCACAATTTCAAGACATCTTTTAGTTTTCCTGTTGATTATAGATGATCCCTAGAATAGAAAGCAAACATGTTATTAGTGACTGCAGCAAGTACTATTAAAAATAGGCTAACTTTAAAAGAAAAAAACAAATTACAATATATAATTCTGGAGTAGAACACATGAAACTTATAGGCAATGTAAGCTCAAATCTAGCTTCTCAAATTTAGAAGCTAAAAACCTTCTCAATCTTACTTTCTGCAATTTTTTATTTTGAACAATCTCTCTTCATCTTCAATGTGCGTCAAGCATTTTCCAAATATTCCCAAATATTTGATATCTGGCATCTTATTTTATTTGCCTGAGGCAAAGCAGCAAATGTCATTCCTCCTAATCAAGTTCATTGCATCCCCTGAACAATCACTGTTGTCTCAGGTTACACAGTACACTCCACACCAGATTGCTTCATAGTGTTCTAGTCGTAGTGTTACACTACCCATAGATTCAATGTTCACAGGTAGCAATATTAGTGACGTTGTCTTCATTTGTCTAATTGGCCACTGTGTGAATGGTATGTTGGATAAGATGGACTCCTGGTCTGATGCAGCATCATTCTTCTTACGTCCTTGTGCAATCACCCTCCATGATGCAGCACTTGAAGAATTATTTACAAAAATGCCAACTTATTGCAGCATAGGCTAATACTGGTTAGAGTGCTGGAATGGACCTCTTCAGTCCTGGATTTGAGTCTCCTTCTGGCCATAAAGTTCACTGCATGCCAGTCACAGGCTCTCAGTCTAACCTACCTTACAGGGTTGTTATAAAAGGAAATGAGCTTGAGAGCCAGTCTTTGTGCCACTGCCCCATGGCCTGGATGTCTGTCTTTGTGGCACTTGGCATGGAACCAGTATTGATAATAACTGAATACACATGCTACAGTGCCAATGGTATATCTCAGTGAACTCCAGATGACTTCTCTTGTATAGATACTGAATAGCAAGGGAGGCAAACCAACTCTTGGGAAACACCATGCTGAAGAATCTATGGAGTAATATTCCCCAAGCATCACTTTTTGGAGATGGCTGTTCGAGTAGGAGCAGAACAGCTGCAGTACACTACCCCTCACTCCCAATTTAGATAGCTGTCCCAGGAGGATAACATGGTTGAGGGTACTGAAAGCCTCCAAAAGGTCCAGAAGTATCAACAGGGTCATGTGTTGCTTATCTCTCTCCCAGCATAGGTCATCATAGAAGGCAACCAAAGCTCCTCCTGTGCCAAAACTTGGTCTGAACCCCAACTGGAATGGATCCAGATAATCAGTCTCATCCTAGAATGCCTGGAATTGGTTTGCTACCACCTGCACAAGAACCTTGCCTGGGAAAGGAACATTTGGTAATAGCTTAACATTATTAAGATCCAAGGCAGATTTCTTCAGAAGTGGTCTCACCGCTGCCTCTTTCAAGCAGCATAGGACCACTACCTCTCATAAGGAGGCATTATTCACCTCCCCAGCCCATCTGGATGTTCCCTTTCTGCTGGTATAATAAATCAAGAGGAACAAGAATCCAGTGCTGAGGTAGTTGCATTAATTGGTCCAAGCACCTTTTCAATGACCTTGAGCTCTGCCACCTGAAACTCATGCAATGCAACTAGGCCAGGCTGTGCTCTGAGTAGCTCACTTGGGTCATGTGCAGTAACTCTGGAGTCTAAGTCTCAATAACTATAAGAGATGTTGTCCTGGAAATGCCTGGCATATTAGAATGTCCTTGGGGCTAGTTTTTAATAGGCCCTGGGTGATAAAGAGAAGATTCAACAGAGGCAATGAGACATTGCTTCTTTGCTGTCCTGGGTATGCCTGACTGCAGACTTGACTGCATCCATTAGAGTTTTTCTTCATCTAAATTTTTTTAATGTTTTTTTCTACCTATTGCTGTGGAAATGATCACCCTCAAATATTTTTGTTTTGATCATACTTACACAGGGTGAGTGAAAGAATCTTCAGAGTAAAACCCCAAAATTCTGGGCACTAGAAAAGTCCCTGGAGCCCTGGTGCATATGCCATAACAGCAACAATATTTACCATTTACTGAATGTGACAGCTGACAAGCAATGGTATTGGGTTATACTAATAGTTGATAATGAAAGCTTATGAATTCTTGAATTTAAAGGCCTACCAGCATCTACAACCTTGATGCTAAACATGTTTAACCTGATATAAACACCTCTGAGTTCAATAGGACCTATTCCCAGATAAGTCTATATAAGATTGCAGCACTTTAATTCCTATTTTGAGGGGAAATTTCTCATGTATACATGCAAATTTAGTTTCAAAATCTGAGTGTTGAAATAATTAAATGCATTCAGCTCTAAATCATGGATAGCAAAGTAGATGTTGATCTCTCTCTCTGATGGTATAATATGTTCCAGTCTCTATGATAGCAATACATTGTCATTTTTTTAGAAAATGCACAAGTAAATTATGTACCATTGCTATGATGTCCAGACATCTATGAGCTTCAGAACCTTTGATTCACAAACCATAAGGCAGTTAAGGAAAAATCTAGCAAATATCTTTCAAGGCAAATGTTGTATGTTCTCTTTTTTCTAAGTTGCTTTTTGAATTGCTAAATTAGAAACTTACTTGTTTGAAATCCCAATGCATATTCAGTTCTTTTGCAATGGCTTCATTACACTGCTCTATAATGGGCAGCTCTCTTTCACCAGAGTCAGTCATGCATCTGTCAACTGTATTTCGTCGAGATCGTAAGCCTCCAACATAGAGCTCTCCAGTACTGAGATAGAACATGTGCTAACAATAGAATATTACAATGCTTTAATTAGACATATTGGTATGTTTGATACTATTTACAAATCATCATTGCTGACTTCAGAGGAGCAAAACCCTTGTCACACTTCCTCCTCAGAATAGCTATAAGCCAGCCAGCATAATATCACAACATCCTCTGGGAGGAGGACAGTGGCAATCTATCAGAAGTGCTCTGGAAGCTCAACATTGGCAGAGCAGACATCTTTGAAACTGGGAGAACAGATTGATGGGAAACTGGCACAGTAAGCATCCTCCAAATATTTCATATTCTACAGTAAGAATCCTCCCATATTTGGCAAACTAAATGCTTCCCCAGTTTGGGAGAACCAGCAGTTTTGGAATGTTGATTTTGATCTGCCTGGAGTACTTCATTGCATTCCTTTCCTCCCATTAAGCATGTGATTGCAAGGTAGAAACCAATTTGGTTTTAGCCAGAGAATGAGCAGTTGCAGGGAATTTGTTCCATTCTGGTTTAACAGGAGATTGATGGATAATCAGGGCCAAGTCATCAGTCAGAGGATCAAGGACTTCTGGATTGCCCCTAAACTTTCTCAGCAAAGCACCAGCAATAGAAGATAAACTAAAAACCCTAATCAAGGAAGAATGTGTTTGAAATATATCACAGTTCCCAAATAACAGCTAGTACATTCAACAGATTTGGATTGTTTGCTTGGTCTGCTCTGTTGGGACCACTCTTCTTCATTGATCCTTCCAAGATCAGTCTGCCTCCTGCTTTCCATGGCTATAACTATCTGTTATCATTTCATTTCTTTTTCATGGCATCGTAGAGGAGGAATTTCTGTTTGAAATGTTCCTTCCCTTAATTAATTAATTAATTAATTAATTAATTGTCTTTCTAGTTTCCAAGTCTGAGAGCATTGAGTATTGCTAAATTTTATTTGCTGTTAGATCATTTTTGCTTGAAAAGCTGGTAAAATATAATCAATAGGAACGTGACTACACTGTTTCCTAGATAGCCATGAGAAATCATCAGCCACTGGTTACCTTTAGGGAATATGTGGATGGGCATTATTCAAAGTAATGATCATGCACATTGCTGTGTGCTTAGCACAAAATTTGCCCTGCCCTGGCCTAAAAGGAAAGGCTCCATAATGCTCTATACAGATACCCTCCTGAGTATGAAACACTATGAACTGCTTACATAGGAACTTAATGGATCATGCCCTGAGACCTGCAGCAGAAATAATTTCTAATGTGAGGCATTCCTTCATTCTATTTTTATAGTGTCCCCATCGCCCATGGGCTCTCTGGGCAGTTTGCAATTATTAAATTCATAAATACCATATATAAAATACTCGTGAAAACAGTATAAACTATATGAAAACAGTATAAACTATATAGCCATAAAGTATAATAAAACATCCACTATAACAACCAATAACCATGGGACAATAATCAGGCACAGAAGCAGTTTAATCTTAAACTTTAATCTTTTATCTTTCCCTTACCTGTGGACTGTATCCATGACAGCTGTACATTATGGGAGTGTTTCCAGGAACTGGGCCTTGATCTATGCAGATGTCCTCACTCAGTTCATTTTTTATCTGGGAGGTAGAAGAGACTTGCTTAATGGCTGGGTTTACAACTCTGAACCCATTAGGATAGGGTAGGGTAAGGTAAGGTAAGGTAAGGTGCTGGTCAACTGATTTTCCTTCTGCCCACTCTGCATGCACAAGAGGGAAGCCTCGGGTGAACAGGAGAGGGAAGAATCGCTGGGTTGTAGTACTCAAGTGGTGGCAGCTCTACTCAGCTAATTCCTGCAGAACTGACTGTCTAGCTGCTGCTTGCCAGAGAGCCATCCCCAACATGGCACCCACCAAAGCATCTTTCTGGCAAGTGGCTGCAAGGGGAAGGTAGCACTTGTCCCCTTACTCACTGCCGCTTGCCAAAAAGGTCTGCTCAACCTGGTGCTTGAGAAGCAAATGCTGGGCTAGGGCTACTTCTCTGGCAAGGGGCATCAAGAAAGTAGGGTAGCAAGGGCATCTGTTGAGGTACACAGCCCCAAACAGCCTCCCTCCAACAAATTCTTGCCTCTTTCACTTCAGCATGAGAGGGGTGGCAGGATACTGCTCCTTTTCCAGCAATGGCTAGCTGATCACCTGCTCCTGTGCATGAAAGTGATGGCAGAGAGGGAATTCACTGAGATGTGTAGCCCCTAATGTACGCCGCTGCCCATCCTGCGTGTGTGCAAGAGAATCATAGGGGAAATCAACTGAGTAATGTTGCACCTTTCCCAGTGCAAACCAGTAGATTACCCACTAAAGGTCTTTAGGACAGGGGTCAGGCAAAGTGAGGACACATTCTGACAGTTGTGCTCTTTCCAAGTGTTGTATGGTGCTGACCTTGGTACTATGATGAGTTGTGTTTTCCCATTCAGATGACAAAACAAGCTATCACAGTACTGAGAAACTATAGAACAGACCATTATTTCTGTTTGTGGTTTCTGAAAACCACAAAAACATACTATGCTGAAATACCCCAGTGGGGTTCATATGACATGATAGACCAATTTACCACCACCCTAAAAGCCACTGTTACTTGTCATGCAGATGTGTGCATTATTTAAACAATATGTGTATGGAATGGTATCCTACTCTGTGCTTGGCTCCAGCTTCAACATCATCATGGCTGTCTGTGGCAGAGTAGTCTCAGGTTTGTCTATTCATTGGAATGGTGAAACAGAGTTTATGCAACAGATGCTAGCATGTGACTGAACCCACCGTTCCATGTCACAAGTATCCAAATGGATACCGCTGACCAAATGGAAACCACTTACGTCCATTCTAGGAAAGACAATGGAAAGACTAAGGGAGCTGGGTCTTAGCCTAGAGAAGAGGAGACTCCGAGGGGATCTGTTGGTGACATATGGGTATGTGCGGGGGTGCCACACAGAGGTGGGTAGAGACCTGTTTTCCCCTGCAAAGGAGGGCAGGATGTGTTCCAGTGGAGCAAAGTTCAGGGAACCAAGGTTCAATTTGGATGCCAGGAAGCACTTTCTGACAGTTAGGACCCCTAGGGTATGAAATGGGATTCCATGGGAGGTGGTTGAAGCCCCATCAGTGAGGGTGTTCAAGGATAGGCAGGACATGCATATGGTAGGCATGTCATGAGTGGAGCCAGCTGGAGTTGAGGGTCAGACTAGATGGCCCAGGAGACCCCTTCTGACTCGCTCAGTTTCTATGTTTCTATGACTGCTCTGAAACTGTCCTTCTTGAAAAATGCAGATGATGGATTAACTGGATTGTGTGTTGTTATCATTACTATGCTATGCTAATTGGATCTCAGCTGAATTCAAAGTGTGGGGCTTGATATTTATTTATTTATTTATTTATTAAAACATTTTTATGCCACCCCATTCGCCAAAGCCTCGGGGCGGCTTACAACAATAAGTTAAAAATAATAATGACTTTAAATTTAAAAAATATATACACATTAAAATTAAAAATACAAAAATAACAATATAAAATAAGCTGCCCTGGCCAGATAAAATCCAATAATATTAACAATTAAAATGCCGCTTAAATAAAAAGGTCTTTGCCTGGCGCCGAAAAACAAATAATGACGGCGCCAGGCGGACCTCTCTGGGGAGCGCATTCCATAACTTAGGCGCCACCGCAGAGAAAGCCCTCCTCCAAGTACCCACCCTCCTAATTTCTTTCATGGAGGGTTCCCGGGGAAGGGCCTCTCCCGCAGATCTCAAGGGGTGGCCGGGCATATATGGATGTAAGCGCTCCTTCAGGTATTTAAAGCTCTTCACAGCATATGACCAGGGTACTTGTCTCTACTTGTGCTCCCCCATACATTAAGATCTCCCTTCCTACCATTAGAGGTGAGGCATATTGTTATCTGAGTATTCCCAGTTGTGAAATACTCCCTACAGAGACGTTTGCTTAATGTCTACTTTTATTTTGCTCCAGTGGACTCTTCCATATGGATTATGATTCTGTGAATGTTGACTTAATGGTGCTCTAGAAATAAAACTGAAAAACTTACTTCCACCTGGCAAATGTTACTTAAAAAGTTTGTACCTGCTGTTTGTCTACACATGCATAAGCTAGTTATGGCATGATATAGTCTAATAAAACATTGACAGCCCAAGTGCAGAAACTGGAGAGGCAGTGTGGTGTAGTGGTGAAGAGCACAGAACTGGAACTCAGGTGATCTGCATTCTAGTCCCCACTCAACCATAGAGTCAACTGGGTGACTCTGGGCCAGTCACAGACTTTCAGCCCAACCTACTTTACAGAGTTGTTACTGTGAGCATAAGATTGAATGCAGGAGGAGGATAATGATGTAACCCACTATGAGTTCTTTAAAGAAGAAAAAATATGGGATAGAAATCAAATAAATAAATATTTGGCATTTATAAATCCTGCACAATGGAGACAGCAAGAGATGTAAGAAAAAAATCAGACTGAGAAGTTACTCAAAGGCCACATGGTACAACCCTTTACTGATCAGTTTATCAACCCTGGCAGTACATCCAGCAGTATTTGCTTCTGAAATACAAATGTATTATCTTACTAGTTAATACTTACTGTTCCATAGCCAACAATGGCGGTCTGAAGTACTAAATTAGGATATACATTTTTTATATACCAATCAAAGCTTTTACAGTTCAATTTCTCTCTTAGTTTTTTCCTAGAAGAAACATCTCCATAGTTTATTCCAGGATTCTGAAAAAAGAAAATTATTGCTTTCATACACAGCTCAAACATGAAAAACTGCATTTGAACATGTTTGAAAAGTACTATTTAATTTATTGTTTATGCTCCTTCACAGAAAACTTCATAGTAGCTTCTATGGGATTTCCCTCCTGTCGCATTCAAATTGCTGAAGAGATTAATGCTTGCTTAGTTTCAACAGTGCTACAGGGATGGATATTCCCAGACACTAAAAACTGTTTATCATAACTTTGCTAAAATTCCACAGTTTGAAATCCCTGAAATTTTAACAGAAAAACTGTTTTTATAGAAATTCAGTTGAATTCTGAAAGCTGCACTGGTCATCTTAAGTTGTTAAATTCGAGATTCACACAAGAAGCTAATGAAATCTTCAGATTCTGGCAAGAAATAATTCTTATGTTATGTTGAATAAGGCCATCTATTCCTCCTGGCTGTTTCCAGAAGTGACCAACCCAAAGGTTACAAGAAGACAAGACAGTAATAGCCATCCATGATGTCAGTCCCTAGCATCATCTGCTATTCAGAGTTCTATGCTTCTGAGCATGTGGGTTTCATTAATGGCTGGCCATGATTAATAAAGTTAACCACACATTTGTTTGCTCCTTTTAAAAAGCCATATAGGCTAGTAACTATCACTACCTCTTGTGACATAAAGCTACATGTCAATACCTTCCTTTTGTTGTTCTGAAATCAGTGCCATTTTAATGGGGTGACTCAATATTTCAAAGTGTTATAATTCACAGTTAATGCTCCAGCTTGGAGTCACCCAAATAAATTATTTGGCACTAGATTCCAAACAAGAGGGCGGTATTTCTTTATCCTGTAAATAATTAACTTGTAGAACTCACTATTATAGTTCTTCATCATACTGTATATACATAGACTGGAAACGGATTTTTTTCAGTTGGTGGTTTGATAAAGCAATCTTTGGTCATAATGTATACACTTGCATGGCTTTCCTCTCAGGAAAGTTTAATAGCTGTTTTCACTGTTTAAAACATAGAAACAGAGCGAGTCAGAAGGGAACTCCTGGGCCATCTAGTCTGACCCCCAGCTCTAGCCAGCTCCACTCACGACATGTGGAGCTGGCTAGTGTTAAAAGTGTTGTTTGCTCTGTCAAATATGTTTTACAATGGGAATATGAAGCAATGCTTCTCTCTAATTCAGCTAAGGCCTCTCTTCAAAATTAGTGGTTAGTTTAGTTTTCTAAATCAAAAGTGTCCAAATGCTTTAACCTTTCCCTATAGAAAAGGTACTCCAACCTTTCACCTTTTAGTTGCAATTTGCTTAGCTTTCCCATCTCTGCCATATACTTTTGAGGTGGAATTCCAAGAACATTATTTTGTTTAGCATCTCTACATATTTTATTATTTTCTTCCAACATGTTCAATAAATATGGTAGAAAAATAAATGCATATAATGATATTATATAACTATAATGTCACAGGGTTAAATTGTTAAAACTGCAATGAGCTGGGAACTGTTTATACATATCAGCTGGACAGCAAAACTAGGGAGCTGGTGAGATGCATTAGCCAAGTTAGAACACAGCTTCAGCATCTTGGAATATAAAATACAGCATGAATCAAGTCAATCCGTATTCCACAGCTAAAACAGCCATACAAATCTTTCATTGTTCATTTCTCCATACTGGCTAATATCTAAAATACTGTCTGCCAATAACCTCAATAGGAACATTCCATGCATAGTAGACCATGTATTTATACTCATCCATCCACACTTCTGCAACACGTAATGCATTTTGTTTCATAGCAAGGGACAAATCCAATAAGTATGGTTTGTGAGCTCTCTCCAGATGGGCAACCCTTGAACAGGGTAAGACTTCAACTTTCCCTCCACATTGCCAAGCCTGCAATCATAAAACAAACACCTTATAAAATCAGAATACATATATAGTTTTCACCACTTCTGTAAATGCAACCATGAAAATATACATCAACTAAGGTTCAGAAAATATCAATATGTATGTTTTTTTTCCAAATTTAATGCATGTCTGTGTACTGCATACATTTCTTTGATCCCATTTGCTCCCATCTAAGAGGTGAATAATAGTAGAGTTGAAAGCCACTGTGCATGGTTCTTTTGGCTGGGAGGCATCTGTGTTGAAGTCCAGCATATGATTGTGAAATTCCAAGGTTAAGTTCCTCCCCACTTCCAGGCAAAGGATCTCAAGCAGCAGGGTTGCTGTAAAGTCACACATATCATTGAAATATCAGTGTATCCCTTATGTTGGCAAGGGGGAGAGGTCCATTTGAAATAGCCATGCAGAAGTAGGACTTTCTCTCTGCACAGAAAATGAGTAGTTAACATTCCCCACACCAAGCTGTTTTCCTGACAAAAATTATCTCCTACACACACATACACACCCAACACCCAACTGTTATTCAAGATGTTATCAAAGACAAATAGTAACCTAAGAAAAAAACAGCAGCAAAGAATAAATTTCTTCCAGTACTGAAAACAATATTTAAACAACATTAAAATAAAGTACTCAAAGCACTTTAAAAACCTGTTTTTTATAATTCCTGGGAGAAGAACATGTTATCTGAAAGAATATCTCTTCTTAGATTCACCTGCCCAGATATTAAGATTATCATCTGAGGCCCTCCTCCAGATGCGCCCACCAATTGAGGAAAGGCTAGTGCCTTTGAGAGACAGAGACTTTTTAGTGATAGCACCTCATTTGTGGAATGCTTTCCCTTGAGATAGTTGCCAAGTGAGCCCCTCAGGGGAGGGCTTTCCACAAATGGGATCCCACCACTATATTCATCTTGTAGCCATTTGTTTTATTGGCAAGAGCACCTGAAAGAAGGCCTCAGATTCTAATCTAATGTCTGGGCAGAAAAACATGGAAGGAGACATTTCTTCAGATAACCTGGCCTGCAGCCATTCAGAACTTTAAAAATCAAAGGCAGAATTTTGGATTAGGCAAACCTGGAAATAGAATGGTAGCCAGTGCAGATGGTGAAGTATTGCATAATATGGCCACATCAGCCAGTTCCAGATAGCAGTCTAGCCACTCTGTTGTAGACAGACTGAAGTTTCCATACTATTTTCAAAGACAGTCACATGTATAACATGTTGCAGCAACTTTTAAAAGTCTAACTGTCCAGATAGGGTTATAGGTGATGCATCAGCTCTAAGCAGATTGAACGAAATTCCCAATCACCAAAGTGAAATTAAGTGAACCCCTTAACCACATGCTCCTTTAGGGGGAGTAAAACACCCAGCAGAACAGGTTGACTGTTGGTGCCATTTAGCCAGATTGGCAGACCACCTACTAACAGTACTTTGGTCTTCTCTGGACTGAGCCTCCATTTATAAAGCCTCACTCAGTCCATTACTTTGCTTAAACACTGCCTGTGAGTATTGAGTGCTTCACTTGCGTTACATAAAAGAGAAAGGTAAACCTTGGTATCAACCATATAATGGTAACAACTGAACCCCCATTCCTAGATGATCTCGCCTGAGAACTTCATGTAGATGTTGAAAAGCATGGAAGATAAAATAAAGCCCTGAGGAGCCCCATAGCAGAATTTCAGTGGGGCAATAATCCTGCAGCACAACCTTCTGGGACTGGCCATCTAAGTAGGAATGAAAGTTCTACAGTACCCTCCACACGCAGTACTCAGACAGCTTATCCAAAGATAACATAATTCTTTTGAAAACTACTGAGAGCTCCAAGATGACCAACATGGTCATATTTCCTGTGATCCTATCCTATCACAGTCATCTTACAGGATGACTGAAGCAATTTCCATTACAAACTTTGGCCTGAAGCTAGACAAAACTTGATCATTGTGCAATTATTCAATTTCTTTAGGCTTACCAGATTTTTTTCCTGGTGTAGTAAGATAGAAGAAGTAGTAAGAAAAAAATGATATTTGCAAATGAAGCACAACAAGGTCGTGCATGACATCTGGATAACATGCAATGTTTGAAGCAGGGCATTTGCAAGGTAAAGGCTTCATTGAGAAGCACTGAAGACCCTAAAAGCAGAACTCCAAATTTCTCAAGTGAACCATTCCCCACTTTGATGCAATAAAGTGTTCCTGTAAAACCACTGTTAGCCCTTCACTGGCCTTTAAATAAGCATGCATGACAGCATCCAGAGATATTAGAAACTATGCAAACTCATTTTCTCAGGTTTCCTGGAATACCTGACCAGTGTGCATTGCCCCTCATGTTCTCAATGAAGTAAATGCTTGAAGACCTAACAGAGCGCTTATTGCGCCTTTCACTGTGAGCCCATCATCAGGACATAAGAAGAGCCATGAGGGATCAAATCACACCAAAACTGGTTCCCATCTAATCCAGAATTGTATTCACATAGAGGCCAGCCAGTTGCCAATAGGTTTTGACAAGCAGAAACATAGAATAGCAGAGTTGGAAGAGGCCATGAAGTCCATCAGGTCCAAACCCCTGCTGTTTCAGGACACCAAGTTACACCATCCCACTCAGATGGCAGTCCATCTTGACCTTCCTCTTTGTGACACCCTTTGAGGTACTTATAGAGGGATATCATGTCCCCCCCCCCCGCAGTCTTTTCTTCTTAAGGCTGAACATGCACAGTTCTCTCAGTCTCTACTCATAGGGCAGTGTTTCCAAACCCTGGATCAATTTCTGCTGCCCCTTTCTAATTTTGTCCACAGTGTTCCCTCTGTCCATCTGAGGTTACCCAGTCAAAAACTGAGATTGAATTAGTCTGACAGGATTTATTTTTGATAAATCCATGCTGGCTTCTATTAATCACTACATTTTCTTCAAGATGCTTGCAGATGGATTTTTTATAATTTGCTCCAGAATGTTTCCAGGGATTGATGTCATACTAACTGATCTATAGACTATAGACTAACTGGTCTATAGTTCCCAGGTTCATCTTTTTCCCCCTTTCTGAAGATAGGGACAAAATTAGCTCTTCTCCAGTCATCTGACACTTCTCCTGTTTCCCAAGATTTTTCAAAGATGATAGCCAGTGGTTCTGAGATTTCTCTACTAGCTTTGACAGTGGGATGGAGTTTATCAGGCTCTGGAGATTTGAGAGTATTTATTCCACCTAGGTATTCCTTGATCATTTGTCTGTCAGTCTTGGGCTGCCATCTCTCACTTCCCGCTTGTACTCCCTCTTCGTTGTAGATTTTCTTCTGGGAGAAGACTGAGCCGAAGTAGGAACTGAGTGCCTCTGCCTTTTCCTTGTCATCTGTTATCACTCTGCCATCTGCTTGAAGTAGCTGGACACCCTTCTCTTTCTCATGTCTTTTGTTCTGGATGTATCTGAATAAGGCTTTCTTGTTGTTCTTAGCATCCTTTTCTATTCTCAGTTCATTTCCTGCTTTAGCCTTCCTGACCCTGTCCCTGCAATCTCTTGCTATTTGTTTATATTCTTCCTTCATGACCTGGTCCTGCTTCCGCTTCCTGTACATGTTCATTTTTTCTTTCAGGCTGTCACTTAACTTTTTGTGGAGCCACTTGGGCTTCCTCTGCTGTCTTCTACACTTTTGTCTGTCGCCCTGTTCCAGTGAGTTTCCTCATTTTCCCTTCCCTCTGGGCTCTCTTCTGCCACCTTGATTTGCTTCTGGCTGTGCTAGTTCAGGCTTGTCTCTGCTTTGCCTCACTTTGCCTCTGCCTATCTCTGCTTTGCCTCTGCCTGCCCTTGTCTCTTCTTCCACTACAAGCTCTCCTCCACCAAATTCCTGTTTGCCCCCATGTTCACTTGCTCCCTGGAAGCTTGGTGGCTTGTATCCCAGAGGCCCCAGACCAGCTGTGGCAGCTTGCTCTGCTCTGCTCTGCTAGGACCCAGGAACAAGAATCATGAGTAAAACAGCACCTCCTGCCCAAGTTCCCCAGCAACTGGGGTCCATAGTCATACTGCCTTGGATGGGGGAGGTAGCATATAGCCAGTCCATAGTATTAGCCATTGATAGCCTTCTCCTCCATGAATTTCTCTAATGTCCTTTTAAAACTATTGAAATTGGTAGCTGTCACTGCATTTCATGGTTCCATAATTTAAGTATGTACTAGATTGAGAAGTGCATCTTTTTTTTCTTTTTATCTTCATTTCCCATCAATCAGTTGCATGGGACAAACCCAGGTTCTACTGTTACTGGAGATTAAAGAAAAATATCTCCCAATCTACTTTTTCCACATCATGAATAATTATGCACACCACTATCATCTCTTCTCTTACTCATCTGTTTTGTAAGCTAAATAAACTAGGTTGTTATGACCATCGCCCATAGAAATGTTGATCCACCCCCTTGATCACTGTAGTTGTGTCAGGATCTGGGCAGCTCCAGGGCTCCATCTGCCTGGTCTAGCAGCAGAATGATGACCCTGGTAGTTGCAGGAGTGGTCCCAGACTCTATTGCAGCTTCCAGGGCCTTCACGAGCAGCACCTGGGGGCCCTGAGGAAAGAAATATTTAAGAGCTGGCTCTTCCTTCCAGGAGCTGCCTTAGTAACAGTGCTTTCTAGTGTGTTGGAGCTTGTCACTGTGGGTGCCCTATTCCATATTTTGGCAATCATAAATATTTTTCATCTTTGTTGCCTAAACATGGGGCTCTCCTGCAAAGCAATACACTGACCTGATTAACCACCTGTGCTGATTTTTCTCATTTTTTAAAAAAATATATTTTCACAAACTAACAATAAGAAAGAAATGGGGATATAGGAAAAGAAGGTGCCAAGGGTCAATTCACAGGTACAGCATATGACATCAACATTTAAATACATTCATAAAAAAGCAAAAATCTCATTGGCTATAATCCCATCAAAACAATTCAATTTTCAGCCCAACAAAATTTGTCCACTCTATTGCTTTAAGGTTAAAATAATAATTTATAAGATGCCCCTCCATTTTTAGGTAAATATTTTAAAGAAAAAGTATCCTCTTATACATGGAAAAATATGGTAATCTTCTCTTCTCTGTGTCAAGTAAATCTTTCCTAAGGTTGATTTTATCCCTGTCCAGAAGATGGCACCAATTTTGCAATTACCAGTTTAAAGAAATCTAAGTATGTCACTTTGATTTTCATGAAAAATTGGAAAAACATGGAATTCTCTATTTTTCCTTTGTCTGGGAATGGAGTCATCCACAAGTCCACCTTTAAAATATATTCTACAGGATAATTCTTCCTAGTTCAACTCAGCAAAGAAGGGAGAAATGGCACATAATCATTCTTTTCCCCCACCAGCCAGTGCCAATCCTCGCAGATTACTCAGGCACGCAAGAATCAACACCTAATCAGTCATTGTAACCTCTTGGTGCAATTAACAGATAACTTTAGGGCTTTATTGCTATATAGTTAAATAAAATTGGCTGTTTATGCATAAGCTTCATTAGGGTAAGCAAAAGATTGTTTCTCTTGTTGTCCTTGTTGTCAAAGATTGCAAATTATAGTTCCTTGACTTTTGGCAGTGGGGGAGAAAAGAGGAAAAACTTGAGAAGAATGAAAGAAGGGGAGAATGTGTCTGGTAGGTGATTTTAAAACAGTTCCTTGTTTACTTTAACTTGTTGTCTTGATGGTACCAGAACAAATCAAACATTCCTGATAAACCTGATTGGTTACCTGTCTCTGGATCTTTGTCATAAAGGTGAAGAGAAGGACTAGCTTTCACCTGGCAGCAAATAAAATGTCAATTGGCAAGACAAAGTAGAGAGCACTCAGAGGTTGCTCCTCTCAAGTGGCCATCTTCCCAAGAATTCATCAGCTGTGCTGGTTTATGACCAACTAGCTGACTGGTGCAGACAACAATATTTCAGCTCTGTGCTTTGTCCTGCCATAAATTTCTTAGACCCTCAGCTACCAACCTGGACCATTCTCTCAGACACCCCTGACTGATCCAGATGCTAGATACAATCACCCCTGTTGATTGATCCCTGGTTTGACTTATTTTCACTGATATCAACATGGACCATGAACACTGACCCCACCCCAGTATGATATACAAACTCATTTGAGATTCACAACTCACATGGGACAGAAATTTAACATACTATCTCCACACCCATCACAAACCCTGCTCTCCATCTGTCTAATCATTGAATCTCCCATTTACCACAAGTAGGGTTGGGACTAACCCTTTAGAAATCCATCTCTCCAAGATCGAGAGAATTTCTCTCACACTTGGTCTAATCCTGCAAAGCAGGCCAAGCCAAGAGGGACTCCACACAAGCTTGTGTATCTCCATTTGCACAATCAGCAACTCTGCCTGCTACTGTAGGCAGGTTGCCAGAAATGGAAAGGGTGTTCATGCTCAGGGAAGGTTGGTCACTATGAAGGTGGTTGTGAGCACATGCACTAGCCATCATTCACAGCTGGTGACTTTCCCCTGCCACTACTGCTGGTGACAGTGGCAGCAATATGAAGGAGTGGTCCTGTGAATGCATGCATCATTTGCAGTGACTGGCCTATTTCCCCACCTGCTACTGCCAGCAGTGACAGTGGTGCAAAAGAGCAGCACTGTGAGTGTGTGTGTCAAGCACCAATTGCAGTGACCAATTTCTACTCCACTCACTGAAGCCATCAGTGGCATGGGATTCGATTCATGGCAAGTGCCCCACAACTGCTACTAGTTTTCTAATTTCATAACTGCACTATTGTTGTTGCTTTTTTAGTTGATATTATTGGGCTTGTTTATCTAGAAAACTAAGTCATTTACTAAGCAAAGGTGAGAATTTACTTACAGTTGTTAACTTACAGTTACTTATTATGAGAAGAAAAGAAAGAGTTCATTGCCATGGATAACATCACCACTTGGTCTAAGATATATGAAAAAGGGATGGTAAGTAAGTTTCATACTGCTATGATGAAGTAAGGGCCTGATTTTTACAAGTCAACTCTCACATAAGCTTGAGCAAGGTTAAAATAGATCTATTTTGGCCACCTCATATTCCAAACAGGACCTGAAAGTTTGCAGTACTGTCTTTCACATGAGAAAGTGGAAAAACTAAAGTAGCTTGCTCATCCAACCATCTGAGCTGATGCAATGTTATTAATATAAAGATATTAGGAGGGTTTGTACCTGGAGGAAGGCCTTCTCTGCGGTGGCACCCCACCTATGGAATGCGCTCCCCAGAGAGGTCCGCCTGGCACCATCGTTATTTTTTTTTCGGCGCCAGGCCAAGACCTTTTTATTTATAAGTTATTTTAATTGTTAATTGATTATTTATTAGCTTTTATATTGGGTTTTATATTATGCCGAAATGTCTCCAAAATTTTTAAGGTTATGTTGTGTATGGTATTTGTTTTGTAAGCTGCCCTGAGGCTTTTTGCGAATGGGGCGGCATAGAAATGTTTTAAATAAATAAATAAATAAATAAATTATGGTTAAAAAAAAACTAAAAAGCAGAGACATCACCCTGCCAACAAAAGTTCATATAGTCAAGACTATGGTTTTCCCAGTTGCAAAATATGGCTGTGAAAAGCTGGACCATAAGGAAGGTTGAGCGCCGAAGAATTGAGGCTTTGAATTGTGGTGCTGGAGAAGACTCCTGCGAGTCCCTTGAACTGCAAGGCGATCAAACCGGTCAGTCCTAGAAGAGATCAACCCTGACTGCTCTTTAGATGGCCAGATACTGAAGACGAAACTCAAATACTTCGGCCACCCAATGAGAAGGAAGGACTCCCTGGAGAAGAGCCTAATGCTGGGAGCAATATATGGCAAAAGAAGAAGGGGACAGCAGAGAATGAGGTGGTTGGATGGAGTCACTGAAGCAGTTGGTGTGAGCTTAGGTGGACTCTGGGATATGGTGGAGGACAGGAAGGCCTGGAGGAATGTTGTCCATGGGGTTGTGATGGGTCAGGCACGACTTTGCAACTAACATAATATATAGGCCATAGGAGTTATGCATAGCCCATGGGGGAAGGGAATTCTATATTCACACTGGAATGTGTGTGTAGATCTGGACCAGGGCATTTGTAAGCAATATTATCTTAACTTAGAGGAGAAATAAAGCTCTTACCCTGATGCCCAGCTCCACATTTTCTCCCCCGTATATATGCATTCCACCATCCAGGACACCAATCTCTCCAAGGAATTTTCTGTTTGCCGCAAGTATTCCCATTACAGAAGGGCTCCTAGTATAAAAAAAGGCAAAGAGAGGTTTCCAGGTTTTGAGTGTAAACTTTTATTCTATGCCTAATTCAGAAAGAGCTGGAAGTTATCAAGACTAAGTTCATATAGTGTAGCAGTTCAGATAGTATGAATTTATTTACTTCATTGCAGATTAAATTAAGATATCATTTTGGGATGCTTGCATGTAGATTTGGGAGAATAAAACAACTTGAGGTGTAAAGGATGCACACTCTTATCTGTTGTAAGGAAGCTTTTATAGCAAAGCATTTAATTGGGCAGGACCCCTCCCATACCTGTTCCACTCTCCCACCCATTCTATCAGTTCTATAGGTCCCCAGACCGTGCGAGGAGTGAAGTACTACCTGGTCCAACCCCTGTTTGCCCCTGACAAGCAAGGAAGGAATTGTCATAGAAATAACACCAAGTAGGGCTGATGGATAGGTTATGTTAATTACTCAAAGAACAACATTTACAGGTAAGCAACCTGACTTTCTTCTTCGTGGTCTCTGTACATCAAACAAATGGGCTACTAGCAAGCTCACCTCAAGAAGGATGGAGGGGATGGTGTTATAACTGGAGGGCTGAGAAAAAAATCTGCTCTGACAAAGGAGAAGTCAGTCCTTGTACAGGCCCTGTAGTGCTTGATGAACATCGAGGGCATGGACCATGTGGCAGCTCTGCAGTCATCTTGCAGGGGGATTCCTGCAAGGAGGGCTGTGGATATGGCCATTGCTTTGAGCCTTTGGGGAAGCTGCAAGTAGAAGACTGGCTAGGCTCATAGGCCAGGGAAATGGTGTTCATGATCAAGTTTGTCAATCTCTGAGCAGAAAGTGGGTCCCTCTTGTTCAGTTTGCCATAGCAGAAATGTTTTGGTTAAGGCCAGAAAGATTCAGTCCTCCCATTCAGTTGAAAAGGAAAGGGCCCTTCAAACACCCAGCAAGTACAGGGTAGGCTCCATCAAGCTGATAGAAGCTATGAAAAAGGCTGGAAGGACAAAGCTCTGGTTGAAGTGGAACACCAATATGACCTTAGGGAGGAAGGATGGGTCTGGTCTGAGCACTGCCTTATTTCTGTGGAAGGTGAGGTAAGGAGGGTCTACCAAAGCATGCACAGCTTGCTGGCATGTCTGGCTGAAAGGTTGACAGGAAGGCAACCTTTCAGAAGAGGGGGCAGAGGTTGACTGTGGCCAATGTTTCAAAGGGTTTCTTGGTCAGTGCCTGCAGCCTGACTGAGAGGTTTCATGCCAGCATGTAGGGATGGATGGGAGAGGCAAGTTTTCAAAGCCCCTGAGACATTGACAGGATAGGAATGCAAAGACTGGGCATCACTTTAGTAGTGGGTGGAATGAGGAAATTGTCGCCTGGGTCCCTATGTTGAGGTGGAGCACTTGGCCCTGGTCCTGTGAGATCAGGTCTGAAATGTGTGGTAGATGGAGGAAGGTTCCACAGCAGAGAGATGAGCTGGGCAAGCCATGGTTGTCTTGGTCACCGTGGAGTGATGAAGATGTGTGTCTTGTCCATTCTGATCTTTGTTAGCACCCTTATGATCAGAGGTAAAGGGGGAAAGATGTAGAATAGGGCCCCCCACCATTTGAGGAAGAAGACATCCGCCAGAGAGCTGGACCCTTGCTCTGCCCAGGAGCATCAGTTCATGCATGTCATGTTGTCAGCTGTGGTGAACAGGTTGACTAAGGGTGGGTCCCATGTGTTGAAGCTGTTGTTGATGCTTCCAGTGTTCAGCTGCCACTCGAGCACATTGAGACTTATGCAACTGAGGATGCCTGCCAGGGTGCTGCTCAAACCTACCACATGGATGGCAATCCTGGTTGATGCACAGGTCCCAAGTCCAGACTGCCAGCTTTGTCAATAGAATGGACTGTGTGCCACCCTGCTTGTTGATATAAAATGCCATGATTGTGTTGTCCTTTGTTACCTGGCTGTGATGCCTTTGCAGGAAAAACTAGAGGTCAATCAGGGACTTGTGGACAGATAGCATCTCCAAGATGCTTGCAGAATTCCTGGTGGTTCCAGGTCCTCTGGGTTTGGAGGTCATTACAGTAGGCTTCTCATCCTGATAGGGATGCATCTATGGTGATGGTGACTGATGGGTCTCGCGGGGAGAAGGTAGTGCCCTTTGTCAGGTTGTGAGGGGCAGTAGTTCACCAGTGAAGGCTATTCCAGACAGATGGGGGATGTCAAGATGTGTCCTGCATGGGTTGTCTGGTGCATGGAATATATGGGCAAACCAGAGATGCAGGTAATTGTTTCAAAGTCTCGCAAAGGGGACCGATGGTACTGTCACAGTCATGAGGCTGTGTATTTGGTGTACTGTGGTGGTGTGATGAGTTGGGTTAGCATGGTTGCACTGAAAGTCAGGGAGAGAGCCATCGCTGAGGGTGAGTCAAGGCAAGTCCGTATGAAGAGGATGAACTGGGAGGGAGAGAGAACAGATTTCTTGTGATCTGCAGACCTTTGGGCTATGTATGAGGGAGCAGGTGGTGTGGGTGGAGTGTATCAGTTCTGCCTTAAATCGTGTGACTAGCAGCCAGTCATCAAGGTAGGGAAAGACCTGTACTCCCTTAAGGCAAAGGTGTGAGCAGACATCAACCATGCACTTGATGAAGACCCTGGGGGTGGCTGAGAGGCCAAATGGAAGTTCTGAGAATTGGAATATCTTGTCCCCAATTTGGAAGCATAAAAAGTGCTTGTAATAGTTGTGGTCTGTGATGACCTGGAAGTAGGCATTGTTCAGATTGATCAAGGTGAACCAGGAGAGGGAGGACGTTCTGTAGGCTGATAAACCAATGGATGCTTCTGAGGTCCAGGATTGGTTTGGATCTCACTTCAGTACCATGAAGTATCGAGAGTGGAAACCTTGAGCAAGGTTGAAATGATGGGTTCTCTCTATGTCCGCCTTGGAAAATAGCATGTCAACCTTTGACACCAGCTTTGGAGAGAGGGTTAGAGATGATATTGGAAGAACTGGAGCATGTTTAGCCTTGAAAGGGGAAGAGAAGACTGATGAGAGATATTAGAGCACTCTTCAAGTACATGAAAGATTTAGGGTTAGAATTCCAAAGAGGACGGCCAGGATCTGTTCTTAATCATTCAAGAGTGCAAAACATGAAATAACAGGATCAAATTACAGGAAGTCAGATTCTGGCTAGATAGCAGGAAGAATGTCCTGTAAGAGCAGTACAGCAATGGAACCAATTACCTATGGAGATTGTGGGCTCTCCCACACTGAAAGCATTCAAGAGGCAGCTGCATAACCATCTGAGAGGAATGGTTTAACTGGGAGTCTTACAGTGAGCAAGGGGTTTAACCAATGGCCTTCTGGCCCCTTTCTTCTATTTTATGGTTCTCATGGTAGTGAGCAGCAGATAAGTATCCAACTTGATCCAGTAGCCTTTCTCCACAGTGGATAGGACCCATGAATTGGATGTTATATGATGGGTGAGATGCCCATCAAAGGTGGGGGCTTAGGAGGGTGCTGTAGGAGCAATCAGTGGTGATGTTTACTCCCCTCTGGGTGCTTGCATGCCTATCTAAGGCGGATGCCTTCTGGGCTGAGGGGCTGGATGGAGTCTAGGGAGGTGTTCAGTGAAGGCCCTCCTCTCATACTGAGAGTAAGGGGCCCTGAACCACTTACATGGCTTGGTTGCTGGATGCTGGAAGCCCATGAGTTGCGCTTTTGATGTGGTCTTTTGGAGGATGTCTATCCTCTCATCCATACAAACTTTGAAGATACCCTCCCAATCAATGGGGAGATACTTGATGTAGCATCAGGTCTTCTGTGGGAGTCCTGCATATTGCAGCCAGGCACATCAGCAGATGGGTACAGTGCAGCCTCTATGCCATCCCATCCAAGTGGTTGTTCTCCTCTTCTACTGGTATCACATGGTCCCACTGTGATCTTCCCTGCATGGACTCATCTATGACTGAGTTTGGTTTGGGATGCTGGAAAAGAAATGGAATGTCCTCCTCCAGCATTCAGTACATAGTGTCTGGTCTCTTCAATGTGGAGTGTGCTGCAGAAACAGCCTTCTGTGTGTGTCTTATCATCTAGGAGCTAAAAGGATGAGTAATAAGCAGGAAGAGCATGGGATAGTATGCAATGAGATAGAATGTGGCACAGATGGGGATCTGGTAGAGGCGGTCTGGGTGAAACTTGGATGAAACTGATTATCTGGACCCATTTCAGTCCGGCTTCAGACCCAGGTTATGGTACTGAATCTGCCTTGGTCGCCCTGTACGATGACTTGTGCAGGGAGAGAGACAGGGGGAGTGCATCCCTGTTGGTCCTCCTGGACCTCTCAGTGGCTTTCGGTACCATCAACCATGGTATCCTTCTGGATAGGCTAGCAGGATTGGGGGTAGGAGGCACTGCTTTGCAGTGGTTCCGCTCCTATCTCAATGGCCGATTCCAGAAGGTAGTGCTGGGGGACTTTACCTCTGTGCCATGACAGCTATGCCATGGAGTTCCACAGGGATCCATTTTGTCCCCCCTGCTATTTAACATCTACATGAAACCACTGGGAGAGGTCATTAGGAGGTGTGAGCTGCAGAATCATCAGTACGCTGATGATACCCAGCTCTACCTCTCTTTTTCAACCAATCCAGGTGAGGCAGTGGCTGTGCTGAACCGGTGCCTGGCCGAGGTAATGCGCTGGATGAGGGCCAATAAACTGAAGCTCAATCCAGACAAGATGGAGGTCCTGTTGATAGGTGGGTCGGGCTTCGGGGTGGGGGACTTGGACCTTGTCCTGAATGGGGTTGCACTCCCTCTTAAGGACAGGTCCGCAGCTTGGGAGTGCTCCTCGACCCAGAGCTATTGTTGGAAGCTCAAGTAACAGTGGTGGCGAGACGCGCTTTCCTTCAGCTTCGGCTGATTCATCAGCTGCGTCCCTACCTGGAGGACGATTGCCTGGCAACAGTGACACACGCATTGGTTACTTCCCGATTAGACTTCTGTAACGCGCTCTATGTGGGGCTGCCCTCAA